CAGTGTGCCCAGGGCCTGGAGATGCTCTGTGATTTCCCAATGATTCTGACCATTTAACCGTGCCACATTTGAGGCCACTGCAAGGCCAACAGCTGCCCTCATCTATACTCTGTTTCCCCCTTGCCTCACGAGGCCCCATATGGGTTTGGTGCGTGCTCCTAGGCCTCTGAGAACTTGGAAACTCAGAAGAAGATGACTCCCTGGGAAGAGAATCCAAACAAGCACTGCCCCAGAAGTCATGCCTCAGCTCCCTGCCCCAGGGAAGGTCTCTGGAGAGCACCCCTGGAACTGCCCCATCTCAGACTACAGTCATCATGGGAGGGAACACCCCACCCAATGCACGTGTCTCTCTGCTCTCCCTTGCCCTCAGACTTTCCCAAACATCCCAGCCCCTAGCGTTTAGCCCAGCTTCCTGTGTGATAACTGGGAAGCCACTGCTTGCAAAACAGATAGCTCTTTCTTAACACCATGTCGGAAACAGTTCAGTTGGAATTAGAGGAAGATTCCTCTGCGTGTGTGTGTGTGTGTGTGTGTGTGTGTGTGTGTGTGTGTGTGTGTGTGTGTGTGTAAGGAAGTGCCTCCAGCAAGCTATGGAAGCTGGATACCCAGCATTGACAATGGGGATGCAAACACACCAATTGTAACCAACCTATAGGTAGCTCTTGCTTTGACTTTCTTCAAAATATTCTTTCATTGAAGGTTTAAAATTACACGAGGGGCAGAGGATATGACTCAGTTGGTAGAATGATTGATTGTCTACAACACAGAAGGCCAGGGGTTCAGTCCCCAACACTGCATGAATTGAGCAGAGCGTAATGCACCTATAATGTCCAAGCTCAGAACATGGAGATGTTAACTCGAGATCATCCTTAACTTCATAGCAGAGTGGAGGCCAGCCTGAGATACATGGAACCCTATGTCAGAAAAATTACAGATAAGGTTAAAATTCCCACTATACAAGGTTACAGTGACACTCCCAACTTCAGCCACTTTCCTTCTCTCCCTATTTTATTTTTCGAGATGGGGGGTTTCTCTGTGTAACTTTGTAGGCCAGGCTGGCCTAAAACTCACAGAGATCTGCCTTCTTCAGCATCCTGAGTGCTGGGATTAAAGGTGTGCGCCACCACCACCCAGCTTCCTTCTCTCTTTGAGCATAAACACTGTGGTCATCTTTATTTGTCTCTCGGAACCATTCGCTGTATATTCATCCATTTGTGGATCTGTGAGGAATATTTTTCCACAGCCGACATCACTTTATCAGCAACATGTTTCTTACACTCAACAACACATCTCGTCTGGGAGTGGAGCTCAGTGGTGCAGTGCTTGCCTGGCCAAAGCCCTGGGCTCACTCTTCACCACTGAGAAAGGAGAGAGGGTGGGGGAGGGGGAGAGGGAGGAGGGGGGAAGGAGAGGAGAAAATAATTCTTGCGGATTATGCCTTATGTTACTTAAAAACAAAAAACAAAACATGTCACTCAGCATGCACAAGGCCTGCCCAAGCCCAAGCCAGACAAAGTCCCAGCATGGAGAGGGGAGCTGAGCACAAGTCCCACCTCTAGCTGCTATTGGCAGCTCATAGCTGCAGGAAGAGGAAGAGGGTGCTTTCATTACGGGAGTGACCCTGATCGGTAGAACATGCCCAAGAGTACATAAGCAGAACAAATTAGGCTCAAGAAGTTTAAAAGAGAGAGAGGGGACACAGAGTTGGGTGGTTAAGGACAGGAACTGTGGATGTGGGAAGAGTTGGGGGAAGGGTGAAGAGGATCAAACAAACTACGTTGTACAAATTTCTCAAAGAATTAACAAAAACATTTTTAAAACATCACTTTTTAAATTGTTGTGTAAGGGCTGGGGCCACGGCCCAGTGGTATAGTACTTGCCTTGCATATATGAGGCCCTAAGTTGAATCCACAGTTTTGTCAAAAAGTCCTTTAATTTAATTAATTATTACATTTCCTTCATTGGGCTATGCGGCTTTTATGTGATCAAGTTTCTCTTAATAGAAGATGACATTTTGGGGCTGGAGAGATGGCTCAGTGGTTAAGAGCACTGACTGTTCTTCCAGAGGACACAGGTTCAATTCCCAGCACCTACATGGCAGCTCACAACTGTCTGTTACTCTAGTTCCAGAGAATCTGATATCTTCACCCCAATGCACATAAAATAAAGGTTAAATAAATTATTTTTTTAATTTATAAACAATGAAATAGGAAGTCTTGCTGGGCGTTGGTGGCAGATGCCTTTAATCCCAGCACACGGGAGGCAGAGGCAGGTGGATCTCTGTGAGTTCGAGACCAGCCTGGTCTACAAGAGCTAGTTCCAGGCAGCCTCAAAGCTACAGAGAAACCCTGACTTGAAAAACAAAAAATAAATAAATAAATAAAAATAAAAAAGAAATAGGAAGTCTCTTGTGCACCCATACCTGTTCTCTGGTGTAAGTAGCCACAAGTTTTTAGCATTTGTGTTTTTGTGTTCTGGAGTGTGACCCGCCTCAAACATGCTAGACGAGCCCTCTGTCTTGGTTTTGTGCATTTTAATTTTTTTAAGGGAAGGAGTATTCCACTGTGTATATCCCCTGCCTCTAAGGTATTGTCTTGAATTTTCATTCCCTAGATATTTCCAAACTGCTTTCCAGTAAGTTTTGCTTTCTTTTTTGCAAAACTGGAATGGGATCACATGTTATCAATTCATTTTCATCTCTTAGATTAGTAGTGAGAGTGGGCATACTTTTATTTGCATTAGAAACCACTGTGAGTTTTCTGTCTGGTTTTGTCTATTTTTCTCTTGAATTGTCACTCTCTTTGATTTGTAGAAGTTGCTTATGTTCTGTGTAAATGTTAATTCTTCAGTTCTCATGTATGTTGCCACTGGTGAAGAAAATATTTGCAACATGTTTTCTTTATCACTTGCTTTTCATCTATTTGTCATGCCATTTAGTAATCTTCTCCAGAATTTTCTTTTGTACCTGTCCCCTCTCTAAAGGTAGTAAACATATGTTCTTGTGTATGCTTAGAAAACCTCACAGTTAATATTTAAGTTTTAACTCATTTTAAAGTTCTGTGCATATGAACACAGAGTTCTTTCTTCCTCCTTCCTTCCTTTATTTGTTTTGCTTTTTTTAAACAGGGTCTCACTATGTATCCCTTGGCTGGCCTGGATCTCACTATGTAGTCAAACTCATAAAGATCCTCCTGCCTCTGCTTCCAAAGAGCTAAGATCAAAGGTGTGCACCTCCACACCCAGCGAGACCTCTTAATACTAATCTGTCATTTCTCTGCTGACTTGAGATACCACTTCTATCACTTAGCCATAAATTGAGTATTTCTAGATTGTTCCAATCTACTGGTCTCCTGATTCCTTTACCTATCCTATGTTAATATGCCACCATTGCAATTACTATAGTTGTCTAATATTTTTTTAAGGATGGAGATTTAGGTTTGTTGTTGTTGATGTTGTTGTCTGTATAGCCTGTCTCTCTGGAATGGAGCAGTGTGCTGAATTCTCCCATATACACCCTGCTCTGAGGTTTCTAAACATGATCCCTACCGGTTCCATCTTCTTACAATCCTGTTGTGTTTCCAGCCTAAGATGCCTGTTTGCTGCTTTCAAATAGGACTTGGTGAGGTACTTGCTCGTTGGTTCCATTTTCCTTGTACCTGTTATTTCTATGGATCTTATGAAGAGGGCAGGGAAGGGATGCAAGTTGGGTGTGGCCAGCCCACTCTCTTGCAATGGATGCCTTCTCTCTTCTATTGCCTCTGCTCACTTACCAAGGTGTCTCTCCCCCACCAGCCTACCCTGTCTCATACCTAGCCCAGGGACTCAGGAAGGACACCGGGGCCAACTTAACTTTTGCCTCAGCCACCCTTCAAGGAAGGTTTCTGGGCATTGGAGTCATGAATCCAGTGTCATCACCATGACCCATCCCTCTTAGGAGTCTTTTGCTCAGGCAGAGACCACCATCAATTTTGTGAAAATAGACTTTATTATAATAAAATGTCTTTTTAAACAAATGCCCCCACCATCCCACATCCCTGGAGACCAGGGTAGGGGTGGGGGTTCAATCAAACATCTCCCACCACAGCAAAGGAAACATGCAAAGAGACTCGCCCAGACAAGAGGTGAAGGATGGGATGGTTAGAGTTAGGGTAAAGAGACCCCTACCCACTCTGAACAAGGGCATGTATGAAAATAGCTGCATAAATCTGTCCTTTCCCTCAGCCCCTGACCCCCAACAGGGACTGGAAGAAAATGATGCAAAAGAGAAGTTGAATCCAATGAGCAAAATAAGGCAAACCCAACTCCTGCTTTCTGCCCCCTGGTCCCCTGGGTTTGGGGGAATGGGATGACACAGAGGCCAGGTGGCCTGGGCAGGGAGGGGTGGAGCACTATGGGGCGGGGTCAGGCCCGCTTTGGCATGGCCTTTCTCCTCCCCTGACTTGTGTGGTGAAGCAGATGGAGGAGCTGGACTGAGGCACTGAGTATGTACATATATACATGGGTCTGCCCCCTGCCCCAGGGGACACTCCAGTGCAAATGTTCCTTCAGGGGAGGGAAGACAGAGGGAAGACAGCCAGAGCCATTATTAGAGTGGCTCGTGTCTCCACCCAGGGGCCTGTCTGGGAAGCAAAGAAGGCCAAGAAAGGACCAGCAGAGCACGACAGGAAGCCAAGAGGAGGTTAGGGAGGCAGGCTGGGAATCCAGAGGCATGGGTCCAGCCCTGATCTGACAGTGCTTGGTGCTTGGTTACTTACTCGAGGCTCAGTTCCCTCTTGGGAGAGTCTATTTAGAGGACCCTCACTAAGGATGCATGTAGCCCCATCCTTGCCAAGTCCCCTGGATCCCTCTGAGTGCCAGTGTTTGCTCAGAGAACAGGAGTTCTGGATTGGCTAGGTTTCAGTGTCCAGCCACCCAGTGATCTGGAGCTTCAAGGGGCCACTTCTGCCCGTGGGACCGATGACAGTCACTCTTTTCTGGAGCCCAGCTTTTTGAGGAGTTCCTTTCCTTTAGAGAGGAGACCTTGCTTCTTCTCAGCTATGCCCTGTGGCTTCCCCTGTTTTGTCCTGGAGAAACTTCCAGAGCTGAGGTCATAGTGCCAGTCAGGGGGCACTGGAGGACCTTGGATGGCACTTCCAGGGTCCTGGAACGTGAGAACGTAAGTAAGGCCAGGGCCGGCTCCCTCCCACCAATGCCTTTGCTCTTTCATTCTTCTGTCACAGGCCTTGCCACTGTCCCAGGCACACAGACACACACACACACAGACATAAACACACACACAGAGACACACACAGACATACACACAAAGACACACACACACACACACACACACACACACACACAAACACACACACACACACGGCATGGAGGTGAAGAGAGGTGATGATAAGAGCCCTGCTTAAGGAAGGCAGTCCCATGAGACAGAGTCTGAGCTCTGCTTTGTCACTGGCCCTGGGTGTGCACCTCCCCTTCCTGGGGCCTCACTGTAGGTGCCAAGATGACTTCCATTTCCCTCATGTCATCTCTCTGCCCAGGAAGGAGAAACAAGGACAAAGACACTTAGAGGTGGCACCTGCAGCACTTCACAGACAAAAACAAGGAGCATCCCCATCAAGGCAGTGGACACAGTGCCCCAGAGGTCTTCAGAGAGTCATGGCACTCCATGAAGAGAGAGACTGAGACTCTACCCTGAATGGCCACTGAGGGGGTTCTCAGGCAGCCCCTCCCTGAGTGCCTTCTAGCCAACCCTCCTCCCTGCTCCTCCTCTCAAGCCTACCAGGCAGAGCTCTTTGGTGACCTAAGGATGGGGAATCGGGAAAACATGATAATTGCCAGGAAGCTACTCCTAGCTGAACCTCACCTGGACCTGCGCACAGCCATGTCAACTCTTGCCAAACTGCATTTCCTGTCACCTCTCCCTCCAGCCCCTACTGCTGTCGAGAGCCTGGAAAGCGCCTGGCCAAAACCAACCACAGAGCCCAGACCAGAGGCGAGGGACTGGGCACACAAACAAACCTATCGCTGCTGCCACCACTGTGGCCCTGGGTGAACTGGCAGAGAATACAAAGGACAACAGACGAGTCTCTGCCCAGGCCTAGAAGTCAATACATTCACAGCCAAGGCTCATAGCCACTGGGAAGTCCAAGCCTTTCCCAGGAGGGAGAAGTGGCTGGGGAAACAAAAGGAGGGGTTCACTGATCCCCAAAGAAGAATAGCTGAGCATGCCTATTGATTTCAACTATTCAAGGCATTCCTTTTTATCCTCTGAGAAATGTAAGCTACAGGGATAAAAGCATTTGTCTGACATTGTAACGGTTCGCATCACAGAGGACTAGAGTGGGAAGACTATTATTACTGGTGACATTACTGTGTCACCTCCTTGTCACCAATAATAATCGCAATATTATAATACCTATAATATTACCTATAGTATCATAATGCCACTGAGTCATAACATGAATGCCACATAATGTTCTATAAGCTGCATGTTACAGAATATGAGGAATCAGCTAAGGTACAATGTCATATACTAAGATGGCATGTTATCCTATGACAACTAGGTGGCACTGCCCAGGGTAAAGGCAAGGAGGGAGAGTGGAGATTTGGCTCATAGCAAGATCTCCCTCCCCCATTCCTTGAAGGAAGTAGAAAAGCCAAGTCAACTCCATTTGAGACAAAGTCTAATTATGGTAAGGTAGGGAATGGAGGTTACATGACACACGTGAGACAGTCACCCACTTACATGTTGCTCTCTCTACAAATATCTATGTCCATCTAGCACTGGACTCTTCTCCTCCTCGTTCTCTGAGAACAGGGAACAAAGAGAGGAGATGGATTACCAACAGGCCTGCATACCTTCCGTCAGTCACCAAGTGGCCCAGGTACCTGGTGGCTCCTGCTTGACATAGCCTTTGCGTTTGTGGCTATTGTGTGGGGCTTCTGGTTGGAGCTTGGTCTCTTGGTGCCCTTCCGGCTATCTGAGTCTGGATACTTAATTGTATCCCACCCATCCCAAGGAGAGACACTTAAAGAGAACCCAGAAGCTGGGCCTTGCAGGCCAACTGGATTCAAAAGTTGTCTTGGAGCCAGGAGGAACTAGCAGGGTGGGAGCATCCTAATGATTGGCTGGTGGCAGGGTCTTTTCCCATGGGGTCCCTCCCTTGCATTGACCCTTGATTAGCATCAGTGGAGTCAGATGGCCTGGGAATCAGGGTCTCTGCCATCACTGATCTTCCAAGAGGAGCATATACGAGGTGAGGGTGGCCTAGTAGAACCCTACTCTGCTGGGACATACAGTGTTCTTTTGTGTTATGGACTTGGCCTCTGAGACTCCCTCCCCACCCCCCCGTAACGTCCCAGTTCCAGAACACCAGCAGGGTAGGTGAAATGCTGAGTTGGTAGGCCCGTTCCCCACTGACCTGACTCTCAGCTTGGGATGTCCCAGACTCTAGGCCACCTGCCTCAGGCCCAGGGCCCTCCAGGAAGTTGGATGGAACCAGACCCCTTTGTCCATTCAGTTCCCCCTGAGGAGGAGATGCTGATGAGATTGAGACTGAGGAGAAAGCCCCAGCTCTGTCCTCTTGACCCTGAGACCCTGGGGAACAGCTTGAGGCCAGCATCACCACAAGGAACCCAGCTCATTCCTCCAGACTTCCGTCAGACTCTCCCGCCCTTATGCCTGCCCAGCTGGCAAACCCACGTATAATACACCACCGGGGTCTTACATAGTAGAAACCATCATCATCCATATTTCCAAACACAGTAATGACATCTCCTGCCCTGAAGGGCAGCTCTGCCTGTGGAAAGAGCAAAAAGCAGAGGTCAGCCTTGGACAGGTTTAGTGACCCCATTCCCTGTCACCAGGTATCATATGGAGGTCCCTCACCTCCACATCCATATTGGGGGAGTTCTCCCGGGGGTTGTAGTCAAATGCAGCCACCATAGGTCGGGAAGTTTTCAGGAGGGCAGAATGGATCAGCTTAGGGGGACCTGTAGAGAAGGGGAAAAAGTTGCTCCTGAACCCCTCCATTTACTGTCCTCTGCACTGAAGCCCCGTGGCCACCACCCCAAATTCCCCACCATCCCCAACAAGTGGGGCCTCCCCATCCCAGCCCTTTCGCCAGACACCCTTGCCCAGAGATGGTTCCTCACCTGGGCAGGGCTGTGGGCCTTCCAGCTCTGCTGTGGAAAGAATGTGTCTCTGAGTCCTGCCTGCCTGTCCCTCTTTGTCAAAGACTGGGGTTGGGGTGCGGGGCAGACAGGATGCTCACCCTCCCACGAAGGACTCAGCAAGAATATCACACAGACCTTTGGCTCAGTGCTGAACCGAGACCCAGAGCCAGTAAGCAACATGCTTCAGTGTGCACAGAACTTACAGACAGAGCAAAGACCCCAGTGGAAGGGGTAGATGTGGGTGGGAGTCGGCTATGATCCCTTTATCTGTTCAAAATCCTACAGGTGTGTCTTCAGAGAGTCACACACTGCCACCCCACCACCAATCCACGCAAGTGGTCACAGGAACCACAGAATGTCGGGGTCTTACCTTTCTTAGACCGGCGAGGCTTGGGGGGAGGCCCAGTCATATGGGCTGAGGGATACACAGAGAGACCATCCCCTGATTGAGGGAGACAGATAGATCTAAGAGAGAAACTGAGGCAAGAGTCAGGGAATAGGCCCATCTACAGGGTTTTCCCAGGGTTCCCATGCCTTTGTTGTTTTCTTTTGTCGTGCTGGGAACCAAATGCAGGACCTTGCACAATAAACCATGCCCCTAGCCTCTGAGCTTTCTCAACCTCCTTCCTTTTTATTTTTTGTTTTGCATTTCATAGTGAGCTCATTTAAGGGCCTGAACCTCTATTTGCAGTAAGAGCAAAGCTGACCCTCAGGACTTAAGTTATGTCTTTGCAATTTCTTCGTTGGGCCATACCCTGGGGGCCAGCTGCAGAAAGGTGGGAGGCAGGGGTGGCATGCCAGGCTTGAGTGGCCCTACTACTCCCAGGACAAAGGACAAGGTACCTCGAGCACCCAGACATGCAAATTTCTTAGGGTGGGGCTGGGTTAAAACCAAGGGTGGGTAGTGATGGGTAAGAGACAGCAGCAGGTCATACCCAAGACCTCAGTGAGAACATCTGGGGGCAAGAAACCCCGCTGGAGCAGCTGTTGTCTCCCTGCTGGACTGTCCACGGCCACCTCAGCCACCATGTTGCAGGGGATGTAGCCTGTGCGGCCTCCACTTTCACCCCGGTAGAAACCATCTGAGTCTTTGTCTCCGAACACCTGGAAGCACAGACTGGTTGTCTCAATACTAGTTCTGCCCACTCCTTGCACCCCAGCCCTGGGTCCTGGTAGCACCCCGCTTGGAACTGCTGAAGAATTCTCTCTTCTGAAGATGGACAGAGGAGGAGGGAAACAGGAAAAACTCAGAACTAAGAGGAATTAAATCACCTCTTCTGTACCCCGTCCCCCTATCTGCTGTCTATATGGTCTTTCCTGCAAAGCATCCCAGACTGGATCTCTCCAGCCCCAGAGGAAAGCAAAAAGCCTCCTGTCGATACTTGCAGGAATAATAAAAATGCTGATATTAACAAGCAGATAGTCCCACCATGCTGGCCGTGTGGCAGGAAGGAGTGCCATGTGTATCTTAAATCATTCACTCTCACTCTACAAGCTACCCTGTGAGGTGACAAGGGCCATTCCCATTCTACCAGAGAGGAAACTGAGGCCCAGGGAGGTTCTACAACCTACTCAAAGCTACATGGGAGGAAGCAGAAGAAGCAGGGTCCGAATCCCATAGTCCAGCTCTAGAAGTTATGTCCTCTGACCCTCCCCCAGCTCTATGCAAGAGGAGTTAAGGAAGGACAAGATGATGACTAGGGCCCAGAGGATGAGTTGGTCACCTTGAGGATCTGGCCCTCCCGGAAGGGCAGTTCCTCTTCTCCAGCATCAGGGTTGGGTGACATTGAGACAGGGTCATAGTCAAATAGAGCCACAAAGACCCTCACAGGTAGGTTCTGGTGAGCTGGTGCTTCTAGAGGGCTCCTTGTTGGGGCTGTGGAGGGTTGAGAATAGAGCAATGACTCTGTGAGCTCCATCCAAGGTGGTTAAAAGCTCCCTTGGATCTATGTGGCCCAGCCGCTACTAAATGCTCACCCAGCTCGGTGGTAGCAGGCCTAGGCACCCGGGCCCCTCTCCTCTGGGGTCCTCTACGCCCAAAGTTGTCCGGTCCCCTAGACTCCCCAGTTTCTACTGCCTGCAAAGAGAGGGCAACAGATGGCAGAAGTGACCCACCATCCCCGTGGTGGCCCACGTTCCCCGGCTCTGGCCCCGGGCATCAGCGTAAGCAACACAGCAGAACAGGAAGGAGCACAGCATTCCTCTCCAGGGACCTGGCCCAGCCTCACTGAGCGCCAGACATCCCCACAGGGGGGTAGGGGACAGGCAGGAGGCCCTGGCTCCCTAATAGATGAGTGCAAGGAGGTGGCCAAGGAGAATTGAGAGGGCAGTCTCTCATCAGCATCGGGGCTGGTGACTCTCTGGATATGGCATCACAGTCAAGTGTCCTGAAGATAGAACTAGCTATTCAGAGGAAAGGGCCACCCTGCCCAAGGTGGCATGTGGCGGCCAATAATAACAGAATATTGTGCATCCCAGTTCCATTCAGCAGAAGCAAAAGCAGTGGAATGTAGGTGGGGGAGATAGGTGAGGGAGCCCAGAGGCCCGGCCCCACCTCTGCTGATGGAGGTGGCAGCGTGGAATGGGAGTGGCTGGTGGGCAGGAAGCAGAGCCACCATGCAGCAGCAGCAGCAGCAGGCAGAGGGGGGCACCCAAAGCAGGAAGTGGGCACAGACCCGGGAGGGTGGCTCCTTGGTTCTGCCAGTCGCACTGCGGCCTCTCCGCTCTGGTTCCCCTTTCTCCCAGGCTGGGAGGCGCAGGTAGGGGTTGGGCCCTGAATTGACCTTCAGAGGTCCCCTGGACCTTCCTACAGCTGCTGTGCCCCAGGGCTCCCCATCTGTGGGGTAGCAGGAGCTGGTGATGCCGATACCCCCGCTGCCCGCCTCCAGCTCATCCTCAGAATCATACTCGATGCTGATCTCCAAACACTTTGGAGAGAGGCAACTGACCAAGCTGGATTCTGGAGCAGGGCCACGGGGACACCTCCGAGAAAGACCCGGCCGCCCTCTCCCACCAGCCTCCTGTCCAACCCTGATGCCCTCGATCACAGGGAGGCTGCCCCTCTCCCGTAGGGGGCCTGGCCGTGCAGTGGTCTGGGGCCCGCCATTGCCAAGAAGCCGGCTGCAATGTTCTCGGGGATCCTGAGGTCGCTTGCGGTTTGGGAGCTTCTCAGGGGAGCCACCTCCTCTCCTCCGACTATTTCCACCAGCTATGCCCAGCACATCCTCCAGGTGCTCCCTGGCCCTGGAGGGCTCAGGAGACAAAGGGCACAGGCCGGGTCCCTGGGACTGACTGCTGTCACAGTCCAGCCCTTGCAACGCAAGTTCAGACTGGCTAGGGTCTTGGCAAGAGCTGGCAGGCTCTGATTGCTCCTGCCCTTCCTCCTCCTCCTCCTCCTCCTCCTCCTCCTCCTCCTCCTCCTCCTCCTCCTCCTCCTCCTCCTCCTCCTCCTCCTCCTCCTCCTCCTCCTCCTCCTCCTCCTCCTCCTCCTCCTCCTCCTCCTCCTCCTCCTCCTCCTCCTCCTCCTCCTCCTCCTCCTCCTCCTCCTCCTCCTCCTCCTCCTCCTCCTCCTCCTCCTCCTCCTCCTCCTCTTCTTCCTCCTCAGGGATGCTGAATAGCTTCTTGCTGCAGAGCTGCTGGACAGGCAGCTCCAAGATCTGCTCCAAGATCTCCTCGTCGCTGTCAGTCTCACAAAGGGGGTCAGGCTGGGGCTGGGAGTGGGGAGAAGAGAGCAGCAAGAAGAGAAGTCCACGAGGAAGACAAAGAGGTAGGTCCAGGGCCTTTGCCCTCAAATGAGGACATGGGATTGGGGCCACACACCCAGCCCTCCCTCAGCTTCCTGCCATGAAGAGAGAATCAGAGGGGCAGTGGCTGGACCAAAGTCACACACATGTCTGGGCTCAACTGAGGATGACAACTTGGTCCCTGTCAGACAGGAGCATGAGGGAGCAAACCGGGATGGTCAGATAAAGAAGTCTCCATCCCCTTTCCTGAGCCTCCTAGCAGAAGGCTCTGATAAAGCTTCCCAGGGCTAGGGGGCTATATCTGGGAGACTGAGGGGAAGTATGGTAAGTGCCCTACCCTGCCCCCGCCCCCCACCCAGCAGGGCAGAAGCCCAGAGCCTCTTCACATCCACTCCTTGAGATAGGACTCAGGCCACACACCTAGACTTGCTGGAGCAGCCACCATGGGAGTGGAGGCCCTTGGAGCCTCACTCAGGTCTTGGGTCCAACAGCTCCTCCCCACCCCGTTACCTTGGCTCCATTCTCCCTGATGCTGTTGCTAGCAACCTGCTTCTGGGGAGAACAAGGCCTGGAACCCAGGTCCTCTTCCTCGTCTTCCTCCTCCTCCTCTTCCTCCTCCTCCTGGATGTCTGATAGGTCTGAGTTGCGGCCGTGATCTACAAGGGAATTCACCAGGCGAACTCCAAGCTCTGACACATCTTCTTTCTAGCAAAGGCAAGACAGGTGCTTATGGCTGGATCCCAGTACTCTGAAGGGTGAGGCAGGAGGATGACAGCCCACCTAAGCTACAGAATGAGTTCAGGCCAGGCTGGGCCACAGAATGAACCCCTGTCTCAAAACAGGAATGTCAAATTAAAAGAGGAGAGGGAAGAAAGAAAGACAGGAAGGGCTCTAGGCAGAATCCTCAAGAGAGGAGGAAAGAGCCATGGCCAGAAAGCACAATGGTAGTGATGGAAGGTAAGGGAGAGAGTCAAACAGGTGCCACACACACACACACACACACACACACACACACACACACACACAAGGTGAGAAACAGACAGACACAATGCAAAGGTGTTGGAGCCAGGCCAGAGCAGATGAGCAGAGGGGGCTGATGACATGTAGAGAGGCATCTTGATTCCACACAGCCTGTCTCCCACCCCTACCTCAGCTCTGAGTTTCAGTCCCGAGCCCAGATCTCCTCCATGGCAGGCCTCAGTACTCGGTGCCTTCTGAGCTGGCTCTCCTTGGGTGGAGCTAGGTGTAGGGCCAACCTCTCCTGAAGTCCACTCTACTTCCTGCTTAGCCAGGGAGGGAGCCACAGGGCTAGGGCCTTCCCAGCCCAGGGCCGGCTCAATAGCCCTCTTCTCCTCTGAGGTGCCCAGCACAGCTGCACCAGACTCTTCCTGGAATAGATGATATTGAGAATGATCCCAAACTCTAACCCTTCCTTCAGCTTGAGCCTGCTCCCCACCAAACAGATAAAGCACCTGAGAGCAAGGGACTGGAGGCTCCTCCTGGGATCCTTTGGACATCTCCATGGGAAGGCTTGCGGGGGAATCTTGAGTTCCATCGGGGGCAGGATGCCGGAGGGGAAAACTGGGATCCCCAAGTCCTGGGGAGACTGAAGCAAGGGGTGCTCTGACCTCTGGGCTTGGTCGTGGTGAGAGACAGGACATCCTGGCTGACTGGCAGGCAGGATCCAGGGCCGGGGCAACAGGGGCCGGAATGGAGTCAGTGGACTCGCCATGGGGTGACATAGTGCGCACCGTCACCTCATGGCAGGCCTGCAGCAGCTGTAGCTGGGACACCTCCACCAGCACACTGCCTGCTGTGGGGGAAGCCACCTCCATAATCTATGGGGAAGAGAGAAGACAGGGAAGACAGGTGAAGATAGGCAAGTGTGAGGTCAGAATGGTCGGCTGCTGGCTTTTCCCAAGCCCTCTTCTTAGTCTTCTTGACCACATGGCTTCAGAGTAGAAGCAATTCAATCTCCTCCATGGGCTGCCAAGATTCATGCTCTAAACCAGCTTATTACACGGCGCCCAGAAGTCAGGGGCTGTGCATTTCTGCCAGGCCAGGAAGACAGGCTTCTAACTAACTAAGCATGGCCAAGAAGGACCCACATGCTGCCCGTTGGCTTTAAGCATCTGGAGCCCCCAAGCCATACCTTCTGCCCATCAGCGTAGATGGTATAGCCTGTGACCCGGACACCATTGGAGGTACCAGCAGCATCAATGGTGACAGGGAGCCAACTGATCATCAAGATTCCAGGAGAGGGCCCTGGTTCAACCTGTACATCCAGCGGGGCATCAGGTAGACCTGGGAGGTGTGGGACACATGGAAAAGTGAAGATGTCAGCGTGTAGACAAAGTCAGTCTCCCCTGCCGTGAGCACTCGTGTCTGGCCCTCCTGGATTTGGGGGATGTCACTGTCCACATCTATGTACCTGCTGGAAGTGTGGTGAACTGCAAGGTGGCAGCTCGCTGCTCTGGTCTCTCCCAGCCTGGTTCCCAAGGCCCCTGAGATGGGATCTGAGCCTCCACTCGGGCCTGATAGAGCGTGCCAGGCCTCAGGTGACAAAAGGTTGCCCAGTAGGTGCTGGGGCGAGCCGGTGGACACTCTTCTCCATTGAGGTAGATGGCATGGGCCAAGTTGCTGTTCCCCGGTACCCAGGTGATCTCAGCAGATGTGGCTGTCAACCGATGGATCCGTAGCTGGCTGGGTACCACCCCAGCCCTGGCCCCCACAGCAAGGCAACAGCGCAGAGGATCTGAGCTGCCCCTGCTGGTTAGGGCCTGGACAGACACATGGAGGGGCCCAGCCTGAAGGTCCATGTTTTCTAGCACAGCCTTGGGGGGCACCCCGGGCCCCAAGGCCTGACGAAGTTCCCCGTTGACAAAGATGTGGAAGCCACGTACATCTACTTTCTCAGGAGGCAACTCCCAGGCCAACACCACACTGTGGGCTAACTGCTTGAGGACCACGAGACGTCGGGGGTAAGGCACAGCCAGAGGCTCTCCCAGTCCCTCTGGTGGGGGGCTCAGACTGAGTTCATCTCCTGCAGCCTCCTCCTCTGGTCTGGGCTGGCTACGTCCCCCGCTGCTCTGACCCCCACTACTGCAGCCACCCCCACCTCCACTCAGGAAACTGAGTTCAGGACCAGAGCTGTGCGATAGATCAGCCAGCTCCCGAGGGAGGGAGGTCAGGAGGTCGTCATCAGACACGCGCTCTACAAAATTGGAGGGGACCAGGCCCCTGCGGCCATCCATGAGCTCCCCTAGCAGAGGGAGGACAGGAAAGGTGGGGGGAAAGGAAAAAGACAAAGAAGTAAAGAAAAGCTTATCCAATAATGCATTTTCTTAATGGCAACTTCATAAGTACCTGGTTCCAGTCAACCTGTACCTGTTGGTGGTTTTAAGACAAAAGGGCAATCAAGATTTTAATTAGAGAACTATCATTGGCTTTTGTAGGTGTAATAATGGAGTTTTTGTCATACAGGACAGTGCCTCTTAAATCTTAATGTGTATTAGAATTACCCACAGATTTTTTTTAAAAATGCAGATTCTTAATCAGTCCACTCTGGAACATATTGAGTGACAGTATTTCTAATCAGCTCCCAGGTGATGCTGGTGCCACAAGGACCTATAGGAACATCCACATTCTAAAGCAACAAATATTGGAGTATTTCTAGGGGAAATGCCATGATGTCCACAATCCATTTTAAAATGCACACCCCCCAGCACCTACGTACAGATCAAGCAAACATGGCAGAGTAAAATCTAGGTGGTATCTAGGCAAGTAGACATTCTTCACATTGGCCTTCAATGCTCTGTTTCCCTTTGTTCTGTTGTGATTCCATGTTGACCAGGTTGGCCTTGAACTCACTGGGTAGCCAAGAATGACCCTGAGCTTCTGATCCCTCTCCCTCCAGCTCACAAATGCTAGGATAACAAATGTGCACCACCCATGGTTTTTACACAGTGCTGGGGGTTGAACCCAAGACTTGGCACATGGTTGGCAGGTGTGCTACCAAATGAGACACAACCCTAACCCCTCTTGATGTGTTCTACATATTTAGAAACTTTCATGTTAAAAATATGGGAGTACTGGTATATGCAATCTTGGCTCTCAGCAGGTCAGAGACAGGCAGGCAAGAAATTGGGGCTAGCCTGGATTACACGGTGAGAATTTATCTCAAGAATGAGGGTGGCTTATCAGTTAAGAGCACTTTCTTGCTCTTGCAGAGGACTTGAGTTCAGTTTCCAGAACCCACATCAGCTCCAGAGAATCTGCTGTCATCTTCCAGCCCCTGCAGGTACACATGAACACGCCCATGAACTCATACACAGAAATTAAATTTCTTGGATCACAGATGGGTGCCGGAGGATAGGAAGCCCCTGTCTCCAGGGGTATAGCCACTGGTGAGTTACTCATACACTAGTGGATAGAGTCATACCCATGCCCACATGAGGGGCCCTGGCTAAACACAGTGGGCCACAAAGTAAAAAGAAAAAGACATGAAAATGAGATGTGGAGGCTTGGTAGAAGGAAGGGGGGATTGATTGGTGCAGATAGGAGGAGGAGGAAAGGGTGTGGCCAGAAAGTATTGCATATATGTACAAAATTGCCAAAGAATAAATCAATGTGTATATATTTTGAGATCTGGGTACAAGTCTATGATACAGTATATGAGAAGTGGAGGCAAGAGGATCAGGAGTCCAAGGCTGCCCTGAGCTGTGGAATGCACTGGGGGCCAGCTTGGGCTACAGGAGATCCCGGATCAGAAGAGGGGGCGGGGAGAAAGGAAAATGTTCGACTGTAGTAGACTTTACGAGGGCCTGAGGAATAGAGGCTATGGAGCCCCTCAACTTCTCTTTGTGAAAAAACAGATTCCACAAGGGGGTAGGGGAAAACCCATCAAAGAAGAAGTGACAGAGAAGAGCACTTTGGGGACCTAGAAAGGGTCAAGAGCAGCCGGGCGTTGGTGGCGCATGCCTTTAATCCCAGCATTTGGGAGGCAGAGACAGGCGGATCTCTGTGAGTTCGAGGCCAGCCTGGTCTCCAGATGGAGTGCCAGGATAAAAAAAATAAAAAATAAAAAATAAAAAAGACAGAAAGAAAGAAAAAGAAAGGGTCAGGAGCTCCAAACATCTACCCAGGAGCACAGTCGGTATCAATCCAGGCAGTGACCAGTGTGCCTTTGTTATGGGCATCAGCCCTAAAGATGTGATGAGTTAAAAAAAAAAAAAAAAAAAAAAAAAAAAAAAAAATTTTTGTCATCCACTTAAGTGATGTCAACCTCCTAGAGACTGTGTAATTTAAAGTCTAGTAAACTGGTATATAAGGTTTGTTTGTGCTTTTACTATCCCAAAAAAAAAAAAAAAAACTGGTAGTGTGGACCTGGAGAGATGGTTCAGTGATTACAGTGCTTGCTGCATTCTGCTGGCTGCTCTTGCAGAGGACCCAGGTTTGGTTCCCAACACCCACATGCTGGCTCACAACCACCAGTAACTCCAGCTCCAGAAGATCTGATGCCCTCTTCTTTTCTTCTCCATGCATGTACAGACATGCAGGCAGCCATATACACATAATAAAAAAGTTAAAATTTGGGCTGGAGAGATGACTCAGAGGTTAAGAGCACTGACTGCTCTTCCAGAGGTCCTGAGTTCAATTCCCAGCAACCACGTGGTGGCTCACAACCATCCGTAATAAGATCTCATGCCCTCTTCTGACCTGGAGGCACACATGTACACATGTAGACAGAACACTGTGTACATAATATATAAATAATTTTTTTAAAAAAAGTTAAAATTTATATATGTGCATACATTTATAACACACACACACACACACACACACACACACACATATATATATATATAATTTCTAGCATTTGTTCTCATTAAAACTCATGACAGCCAAGTCTGATGGCACAGGCCTGAAATCTCAGCTACTTAGGAGGCTGAGTCAGGAGGATTAAGAGTTCAAGGCCAGCCTGCATACAAACCAAGTTCAAGTCAGACTGGAAACCCTAGTGAGACCCTGTGTCAAAAAACAAAAAGAGAACTGGGTTTATGCTCAGTGCTATAGCGCCTGAACACACAAGGTCCTAGGTTCAAACCCCAGTAACAACAAATATCAAAACAAACAAACAAACAAAAAAACTGAAGACACAAATTAAGTACCATCCTCCCGGAAGCCGTTAGTCTAGCTCTTCAGCATGTACCTTTAAGTGGAGTTTAGCTGTTTGGCAGGTATCAGCATTTCCAGAAGCTGCTATGGGGCCCCAGGAAAGGAACTAGGCAGGCACCAAAGCTCTTGGTGTTCACTCGGATCTGATCCATTTCCTAAACCTCTAGACGAAGCTGTGGTCTTCGCCATGCTCCAAGCACCCCTCCCCACTGTCGAAGGATGCAGCTCAGAGCACCAGCCAGGAGCACTCTGAAGGAGGTTCCTGAGGCCACACACTCCTTCTTCAGGGTCTACCAGCTGGCCTGGTGTCTGTGATACATCTGCCTGCTGCCTGCTGAGCCCTGTGGCTCCCTTCAGGACCTAGATAACCTCCCTGAAGCTCAGGCCCGCCCTGGACCTGGTACCTACCTACCACCAGTCACTTTCTCTTTCTCAGCTGGCAGTCCCAAATCTCAGAGCACCCCTTAGCTGAGTCTGAAAAGCTGGGGTGGACGGAGTGTGCTAAGGAACGGGACTGGAAGGACCTAGGTCTTTGGGAACAGTAAACGGTGAGAGAATGGACAGGGTGATCCCTGCTACTGTCCTACCTTCAAAAAAGCCATCCTCATCCATGTCACCATAAATGTAGATATACTCGCCGGCTGTCAGGGGGAGCTCAGCTTCCGGATTCTCATTGGGACCTTCAAGGGGGTTGTAGCTGTTGGCAGAGTAGCAGAGGAGGAAGAACACAGTGGCTGACATCTCACCTCCGTACTTAGCTTCTCGAGGTCACACCTCAAGTCTTTCTGGAGATGTGGTTACTACGGTAGCCAAGTAGAGCACTCATGGTACCCACCTTGGCTCAACCCTGCTATAAGCACAGTGTTCAGTCAGTGCCACCCTCCACTATGCCCAGGGGTCTCCATCTTCATCCATACCTGTCCTCTGTGCATCCCAATGCTGAGGGTGGCAGAGTGAGCTAGAGGGACCCACCTATAGCGTGCTAGGAAGACCTGGATCCTGGCTCCTCCCGAGTTGCCCTCTGGAGCTGCTGGAAGCAGGGAGACACTGTCTACCTCCAGCTCCTCCACCTCACTGGCCGTGTCCACCTAGGGCAGGAAGAAAGTAGGCTCCTCTCAGGGTCCAAGGTCCCAAGCCAAAGACACTGTAGGCAGGAATAGCTGGGGGGTTTTTGAGAAGGGAGCTGGAAACACACCCTGCCAGGCCAGTGGCAACAAGGCCTGGCATTTGATAAACCACACTTGAGACAGAAGGTCTGTGATGCACACAGCTGTCCTAGTTTTGGGGTGTGAGGACAACTTGGACCCTTCCCTAAGTCCTGGCTCCAACCCAAGAAATAAAACAATATTCCCCAACCTGACTGACAGCCATGTCAGAGGGGAGCAGGCATCAGTGACAGTTTGGCTCCCTAAGGTAGAAACTCAGCGAAGCATCTTAGTCATAAAGAGCTGGATGCAAGAAGGAGGAGGGCCTGGAGACACCCCCTGTTTTAGCACTGTGCCTTTACCTCCGGCTTCAACCCCCCTGGAACTCAGCGCTTCAGATCCACTAAGGCCAGCCCAAAGCTAGGACCATCAATCTATCCCACCAGGGGGCAGCAGAGGCCCAGGGCCGGGTTGTACCCCTTTGTGATGGCGATTGGCTTGCTCCTGGCCTGCCACCTCCACTTTGCAGGGTTCATAGGTAGAAAGAGGGACAAGGTGATCGGAGGAGCTGTGAGTAAAGTCAGTAGTGACTACAGCTGCCACAGGTTGGGCATCTCCTGCGTGCTCCTCGCTGAGACGTAACCCTCACAACAATTTTATAAGGCATGTTTGTAACCCCACCCCCAGCCGCCCCAGGCATACAGACAAGGAAGCCAAAGCCTAGAGACATCGTGAGTGACAAGGCTGGGATCAGAATCCAGGAACCTGTGTTCCTTCTCACGCAAGCAACTGCTTCCACTGCAGTTGCTCCTATGAACAGACTCATTATGCCGATCAGGCGCCAAACAGTCTCCTCCATCCTGCTCAAGACTCTGGGGCCTCCCTGGACCCCAGAGAGGTGCAGCTGGTAGGCAGGCCCTGGAGAGCAGGCTCCACTTCAGTTCCTGCCCACAAGAGGAAGCCACGGCCTTCAATGCCCAAGCTTGGGATCAGTAGCCACCCAACTCCTTCCGCCTCTGCCCCCGCCCCCCCCCAAGCCAATACCCAAGCCCAAAGTCCCCAGCCCAGAACTCACCTCTGGTGTGGGACATGACTTGGGGCTGTTATGGACCGACTCCGAGCGAGAAGAGTTGGAAAGAGATTCCACTTTCTTAGCCGTCCTTCGAGGGACCCCAGCAAGGGTAGCAAGAGCAGGCTCTGAAGATTTGGGGGTACAGCGTCCTGGGGAGCCCGGCGGGAGGTCAAGGTCTAAAGAGAAGATGACAAGTGGGCTTGGGATCTGTGGCCTGAGAGGACTGGGGAGATAGGTGGAGCTTCTTGGATATAGGCATCTGGCCTTTCTACCCAGATATCCTAACAATAAGGGAAATATTTGGGAAGAAACTCACTGTGATTCATATCTATAAGAATCCTCCGAGCGTTTGATGAAATGCATTGAGTTTTCCTGCCTCGTGGCTTAGGAAACTGACACTTGGAGAGGTTAAACAGCATGCTAACTCCAAATGGCTGGTAAGAGAATGGAGCTAGGACCACCAGATGTGACTGACCTTTAATTCTCGACTCTTCCTAAGACCCTGATTCTGACTGCTAGGGCCTGACTCCCAGTTAGAGGCAGAACAGCAGCCTGAGATCTTGACTTTAATGAGCTATGTCTTTAACTTGCTCTATGACTTTGGATGACTGGCTGCCTCTAACCTTGAACTCCTTGCACTATACAAAAGCCCCGGGATCTGAGGAGTCCAGACCAATGTCATTAGGGGACACCTTACCTTTGGGGCCAGACCCGTGGCAGGGCTGAGGGGTAGAGCAGCAGCAGTGGGGGGGCGGGTGGTCCCCAAGGACACTACAGCCCAGGGCAGAAGTAAGCAGATCCAGGGGACCTGGGTGCAGTCGAAAGGCCTGGAGCTCCTGTGCCAGAAGGCTGAAGCGCTCGGTTTGGCTGCGGCACTGGCCCTCAAGCTCTCGAACCCGGGCCTACAAGAAGACCCATTGTGGTTTACCAGGCCAAGCAGAGCTGTGCAGCACTATCCAGTTCCACATAGCCCCACAACAGACTTTAGTTCACACACATGTGCCCCCACACACCAGCCTGAGCACCAACCTATGGCACCAACTCTCACACTCAGGCCAGTGCCACTCTTGCCTCAGAATATTTTATAGTTCAAAGGGTTTTCCTCATCCCACCAACAACAACAACTCAGAATCTTCTTAGCTCTGGCCACTAGTTATTCTCCCATAGGCAGTGGCCCTGTCTCACACTCAGAGACATGGGTGAGCGGTTCCATGGCAAGCTAGGATGCCTTTGGATAGAGTGACCTTTTCTCAATTACCAGGCAAGTTTCTAGCCTAAGGGCTCTCCCACTGACAATGTCATAAGGAACATGAGTCAATGGGTGACAAACTTCCTCATGGTCTAAGACAACAGTGGGGAAGGCCCTGGGTCCACTAAGTTCAGATGCAGGTTCAGGAGGAGGGGACAGCCCATGTGCCCTCTAAGTTCTCCAGATATCTGTAGAGTCCCGGGTCTGCCATCAGTGATGGCCCCTCTGTGGGATATCAGAGTTGGTCCCTGAGAGAAGAGATGTGAGCGGGTTGGGGAGTGGACACCCAGGAGGTAGAAGGCATAAATAGACTGTACCTGCATGGAATCCAATGTAGACTGGTAGGGAAGGAAAGCACAGGGGTTAGAACATTCAGCTCTGTTGGTCAATAGCCCAGGGGGGAGGGGCATGAAGATGGACACCACCCATCAGTGCTCTGAGCGGATAAAGGAATATAAAGGACATTTCAAGGTAAAAGCAGCCTCTGCGATGGGTGCCAAGGGGGGACTATTGCCACAAAGACTCAGGAGTCCTGCCCCTGTGTAGCCCGGCCTAGAGAAATAGGCCGATAAAGGGGATTCAGTCTGGCCACATTTAAGGTCCCTCCTTCCACTATCTCCACATGCTCCAAGGGCCCTACCTCCAGCAACTGCACCGCTCCTTCATGTTCCCTCTTGGCTTCTGCCTGTGCCTACAAACAGGAAGAGGCAAAATGCTGGAAGGGAGGACTGCACATCAGAAACAGGGTGGACAATAAAGGTGTGTGGCAGAGGAAAGGAAAGGGCTAGAAACACAAGGAGGACAAAGCGTAGGGAGGAAAGGAGAAAGGGTCTGGGGAGCCAGAGGCCAAAGGGTTTCCTTCAGACCCCCACCCTGAGCTATGCCTTAAACAGGAAGACAGAAGGGACAAGACAAGGATGTGCCAGGTGCAAATTCTCTCCTGGGACATCCACCCTTCTGGTAGATGGATCTTGTCCTACCTATCTGTGGCCTTTTCTCTGCCCCCTGTCTTCTATCCCGTGGAATGTCAAGGTGCCCCTGGACTCAGGCCTCTCTGCAATCTTCTGGGCATTGATGACCCCAAATACCTCCAAGCCAGCTACCTCATAGCTCCAGACTCATGTGTCCATTTGAATGTTTTACCAAACCCCTCAAACATTCAAACAGAACTTGAAACTCAAGGTGCCCTGTCTCCCAGAGCTGTTGCTCTGTCCTGGTTAGTTTTTGTCAACTTGACACAGCCAAGAGTCTCCTGGAAAGAGGGACTCTCAACCGAAGAGTTGCCTAGATCAAATCAGTCTGTGGCCACGTGTCTGTGAGGGACATTTTTGCTTAATGATTGATGAAGGAGGGCCTAGCCCACTGTGGGCAGCACCATCCCTAGGCAGGTGGCCCTGGGCTGTATAACAAAGTTATCTTAGGGCCAGGCAGGGTAGTGCCCATTTTTAATCCTAGCATTCCAGTGACAGCGCCAAGAGGATCTTTGTAAGTTTGAGGCTATGCTGATTTACATAGAACATTCAGACCAGCCAGGGTAATGTAGTAAGGCAGCATCTCAACAAAAAAAAAAAAGAAAGGAAGGAAGGAAAAGAAAAGAAAAAGAAATAAAAAGAGGAGAGAGAGAGAGAGAGAGAGAGAGAGAGAGAGAGAGAGAGAGAGAGAGAGAGATCTAGTTGAGCATAAGACATTGAGAAAGCCAGGGGCGCTCCTCCATAGTTTTGGCTTCAGTTCCTGCCTGGACTCCTCTCAATGGTGAACTATAACCTGGAAGTGTAAACTGAGGTGAACTCTTTCCTCCCCTAACTTGCTTTTGGCTACAGTGTCTATTACGGCAACAGAATACACTAGTTTGCCTTCCCCACTGGGTGGGGGTGGGGGTGAGATGAAAAGCCCTGTTGTCTCCAGGGTTCAGACAGACAAGGAGTGGCACAAAAGGGATCTTGCAGTTCTATCCCCGAACTATATTTCCAATTCCCCCACTTGTTTGCCTCCACGGTTGCCTGCACCCTCCTAGACTACTGTCACAGCCCTGCCATCTGATCACCTGCTGGATGCCACTCCCAGTACCCATCCCACCAGCCCGATCTTGTGAAATGATGAGTTGTATCGTGTCATTCTCCTGCATAGAATCAATCTTAACTTTTCCACCTTTTGTTTTCTAAAACAGGGTCACACAACGTCACCCACACTGGCCTCAAACTCAGGATAGTCTAGTCGGCTCACTTGGCTGGTCTGGAGACCACATTTTGTTTCCTACAGTCTCCCCGGTGGGTGAACCAAATATGGCTGGGGTTCAGCCGCCCCGGGTCTCCCCTCGCCGTGCTCCTGCTCCCACCTGCTGCAGCCTCCGGACCTCCTCCTGCTTCTCCTGCAGGCTGAGCCTGGCCTGCTCATGCTCCACCTCCAGCTGCTGCCGCCTCTGGGCCACCTCCCGCATACGCTGAAACACAAGACTAGGGGTCAAGGCCAGAGCGTCCCACGTCACCATTTCACAGGAGGCTTAAGACCGGGGAACCTCAACCACCACCTGCTCCGGGGGCCTTCTGTTAAAAAGAAAACCAAGGCTGGAAGTGACCTAGGGCTGGTAGCACCAGAACTCCTCAGGCTCTGATGCTCTACCTCCCGCCTTTGCCTTCTCCTCATGCCGCCTACATGAGCCTCTCACCTTCAGCACCTGCTCCAGGCTCTCCAGCTTGCTTTGCAGGCCCTGGCTTCTTCGAAGGGCTGAGTCCCTCTCCTGCTTCACTCCCAGGAGCTGTCCCTTCAGCTCCGCATTCTCCCACTCCACCTGGAGAGGGGGCATTGACAGGGAGGTGTGTGTGAGAGAGAGAGCTTTGTCCCACCTGCAACTTGCCAAAGGAAGACAGGGCCCTTCAAACTACACCGCAAGAGGAGGAACTTCGGGCCTCGCCTCGGGGCACAAGTCTCTCTGGGGACACGGCAGAAACTGAACCTGCTCCTTCTCTGTGGCTCTCCCACTGAGCCGGGAGTTCTCTTCCACCAGGCGAGCATTCTCATTCTGGGCTGCTCTTAGCTGTAGTTCCTGTGGAGGGAGGTTAGACAAGCTCTAAGGAAGGGGCTAGAATTCACTTTTCTGGCCCTCTCACATGAAGGACCCTGCCCTCCCAGGTGAGGCCGCCCATGGAGACCTGCAGTGGCCAGGAAAGGAAAGCTTAAGAACAAGTGGAAACTGGTGTTCCTGAGGATAGGAGGATGCCAGGGGAGTGGAGGGAGCCCACCACCTTCTCCCAGCTGGCCTGGGAGAAGGAAGGAGCTGGTTCTTGGGCGGCCTTAAGAGCTCACCAGTTCCTCACATCGCCTCTGTTTTTTCCGGGCTTCCTGCTCCAGGCTCTCGCATTTCTTTCGCTTCTTGCACAGCTCAGACTCCTGTGGAGGTCAGAATGGAGAGCTTCTCATGGGGAAAGGTAGAGTTGCCCACGTGGTAGGCTGCCTCCAGCCCTCAGCCTAGGACTTACCAGCTGCTGTACCCTCTGCTGTTTCTCTGGTTCCCCTAGGGCCACCTGTGGGCTGTCCACATCATCCTGGAGTATGGCCTGCAAATACCCAGGGGCAGGGAGATGGTACCAGAGAACAGGGCTCCGGAGCAGCTTGCCCCCGGCCTACCCTACCCATGGGAAGATCTCACTTCACAACCAGGTCTGCAATGGCATCTGTGCCGATGGGCGAGGAGGGGTGCTGCCTGCCCACCCCTCCCAATAGCTCCAGCTGACACGGAAGGATAAAGGTTGCACCCCTGTATAGTGCGTTGAGATCCCAGGACCCACGTGTGCCCTAGGAGATGATGGGTCCTTTATCCAGGCCAAAGCTTTCCCTTTTTAGCTCTCAGCAGCCGCCCTGCTCTGCACTCAATAACTGTCCTGGACGTCCTTCAGTGACTAGCAGAGAATTAGGAGGCTGCTTGGATCCCCAGAGATATATGTGTGGTGTTCCTAGAGCTAGAGTTCTGGATCATCCTGTCTGAGCTTGGCCTAGAGTAGTGTAAACCTAGCCAGACCTCTCCCAAGACCACCCTCATCAGCTTCCCATTTATTCCTGCCAAGTTTAGAGGACAGGTCTTGATGGCAGATGCGTCTTCCTCCATGGATCAGTCAGACCGAGGGGCAGAGTCTGAGCAAGCACCATCACCCCTTCCTGCACCCCCACCCCTCGAGGTTTATGTCACTATCAGATCCCCCCTCCCTCTCAGGCTTCTTCCCAAGAGGCTAGTCTAAACGCTGCCCACCTAGAATGATGGATAGGAGCCAGGCCCCTAAATTCCGGGGGGAGAGGAGGAGGGGGGGGCGGTCGTCCAGGTCCTCTGGACTGGAGCTGCCTAGTCCCGGCTCAATGAAGGTCGCCCATACCTGGAACTGAGTCGTGTGCACCGCCCCCCAGGGTAACCCGGACCAGATCTGGCCCCCGGGCGGACGCTGAAGGGGGCGTCCCCGCTCTACCGCAGCTGCGGGAGGAGGCGGCGCGGGCTGGGCCCCGGGCGGCTGCCAGGGCAACCAGGGATTTGCGGCCGGGCCGTACCACCAGCCCCCCGGCAGGGGCGGGCCAGCCGGGCCCCCGGGGGGCTGCGGAAGGCTCCCTACATCCTGGGAGAGCGTACATGTCACTACGGGGGTCCCCCTTTGAGCATCGTGCAGGGGGAGATCCCCGGATTGCCCGACCCCGCATCTGAGCACACTCACACACCTGCCCTTCCGCAGGCGCTCACCTCTCCCGGGGCCCCGGGGGCCGGCGCCCCTACTCTGGAAAGGGCAGTGGGACCTGGGGGCCGGGCTGGCCGGAGCGGCTCCCGCTGGTTGCGCAGGGCGATCTGCCTCTGCAGCCGCAGCACCTCCCGTTGGGACTCGCGCAGCAATCGGTCGAAGTCCCTCACATGCAGCCACTGGGGACCTTCCTGGGGTGGGGCGACCAGGAGCCGAGTCACTCCCAACCCCTGCCTGGCCCCTGATCATCTCCAGCTCTCCACGGTTCTGGATTGGTTCGGCTGCGCGGGAAAGCGCGCATCTTCCCATGCATATATGGTTGGTCATATAAGCATGAGTATGCAGTCACATGCCTCCCCTGGCTTGTGGGCAGACATTCACAGCAGCTTGTTCCCTGGGCGCCCTGCACTGTGCTAAATGCTTGTGTGAACACTCCTTCACACAAGTGTGAACTATGTGTGGATTCCTACAGTCAGGTCCACTGGCACACAGCCTCAAGCCTGGAGCACAAAAATGTCCACGTCTGGGACTCACGGCTCCACCCCCTTCGGTTCAGTCGCCCTCTCCGCTCTCCCACCTGGGCCGTTGCCAGGGGAACCTACTCCCCAGCAGCCTCCACCTCTCCGTTTCATTTGCATCTCATTAACATCTGGTCCACATCCCACACTCTAAGCAGACATCCTTATGTAGGATCGAGCAGGAAGAGACGCCCAGATCCCCTTCACACCTTGCCCACCAGAGTGAGTCTGGCTTGCAGCTCCCTGCACTCCCGCTGCAAGGCAGCAATCTGCTTGTCCTTGGCCAGCAGTGCACTGGCTGTCTCACTGAGGTCCCGGGCTCGCTGGCGGGCTAGGGCCTTACGACACAACTCCAAACTGGATCCAGGTCGGGGCACAGGGGCACTCACCTAACCAGAGGAGGGGTAAAGGCTGTGGTCATCTGAGGATTGGAGGCACACCCCCAACTCCTCATCTCCCAGAGGGAGAATTAGGATGAAACCCAGTCTGGGGCCTCAGAGGAACTGCATCCTCAAATGAGCCCCATCCCGGCAGTCCCCCACACAGGACCGAATGGGCCCCATCCCGGCAGTCCCCAACTCAGGACGGAAGGCGTTAACTCAACATCTTAGTTTACCCTCAAAGGACACTAATTCGGGGCTGCCACTATGATGGGACTTCTCCCTGCCCCCACTCCAGCTCCACACCCCAGATGAGCTCAGCAGGAGGCTGCAAACAGCTCCAGAACATGTTAATCCAGAATTTTGCTCGCCGACTGTTCAGGAGCCTCCCCCACCCACCCTTTCCCCCTGATAGCTCCAGACACCTCCAACCTCCTCCAGGCCAGCATTTGTCCTTCTTACACAGTCCCTGGTCTCTTGCTTTCCTGGGTAGTAAGTCCCTGACTCCCACACCCACTTCCCATGGCCTAGCCTTGGTTCTCTTCCCAAGCCACCCAAGCCTCCACCCAGCAGGCTGTCCTCACCACCCTCATGTTCGTTTCCTGCAGCTTCTGGGCCCTCTCCTCCAGGCGCTTGGCAATGACCGCCAGCTCGGCGTTCTTCCGCTTTAGCCTCCGCACCTTCTCCTCCGTCTCTGGGAAGCTGCTTTTTCTCTGACAAGGGGTCAGCCAGAATTGGGCTGTGTAGGAAGCACCCCCACAGCCCCGTTTCTACTCCCCAGACCCTAGGCTAGAGCCTGGGCACACACTGAGACCGTTGGCAGTGCTCAGCAAGGGTCTTCTGGGTGTGGGGTACACAATTATGTCTCCCTGGGGTACCTCCCTCCTGGAAGAGATGTTTTTGGGGTGATCAGGGTGCTGAGGGAGACCCCACTCTTCAGGCCTCACCAGCATCTGGTTTTCCTCCTTAAGGATGGTACAGCGCTGCTGCAGCTCCCCTAGGGCCCTCAGCAGCTCCAGATTGGACCTGACCCCGAAGCCCACGTTCGACTTGGCCTGGCATGGGGAAGGACCAGTACAGAAACCTCAGAAACCTACTCAAACTTGCCAGGGTCATCCATATGAAATGTCTCCCCTCTACAGTCCAAGGAGTTAAGAAGGTTCTCTCTCATGCCCCAGGCCTTTAGAGAGGGGTACTACCAGGACCTAAAGAGAAGGGGTGCCCAGTCCTCCATGCCTTCAGTGGCAGCCCCGCACCACCATACACCATTCTGGGAGCATTTCCTGGGGCTCCTCTATCCTTGACATCCTGCCCATATCCTGGATAATGGCAGACTAAACCCCTTCCCCGTCCTTCTAGACATCCTGGGTCCGTGAAGTCCCCTGCCCTCCCTAAAGTCCTGTTTCCTCCTTCCTCCTCAGTAGATCAACCACCCCCACCCACATCATGGTCTGCCTCGGCTCAACCCAGCAGCGAGCCCACCTCCATACTCTCCACATACCCAAGAAGCCCCAAAACAGACTCATGCAGGAGGACACCTAACAATCACACACATTGAGGGGCAGGTGCAGAGAGTCCCAGAGAGAATGAAACTGCTGAGATTCCTGCCCAATGCAGGGAGGACAGATAATCACATAGACAGACTCACAGACAGAGACAGGCCCAGACAAGAAAGGTGGGCAGTGGGGCTACAGGTTATGGCTGGCCAATCTTGCAGCTCTCCTCAGCCTCCCTTACCTTACAGGCCTGTGCATCCTCATCTTCTGGCTGGAGGCAGCTGTACCCATGGCTCTCGGCTTGCTGTCCCAGCTTGGGCAGCCCAGTGTCTGTTCCTTCAGGGTCAGTATTCCCAGCAGGCCTATGGGCTCCCTCAGGCTTGGAACTCTCTTCAGACCTCAGTCCTCTAACCTGCAGAGCTGTCGGAGTATCAGCAATGCTTGGAGATGCATCTTCGGGTTCGCACCCCCGGCCCTGAGTCCAGCATTGCCAGGCAGGCAGTGCCCATGGCTCCATGGCTCCACGGTCTCCAAGCTGTGGAAGAGTTGTCAGTTGCTCCATGGTTTCCGCAAGGGGCCCCAGAACCTGGACCTGGGGACATCACCCAGCCAAGTTGGGAGACTGACAAGGGTCATGCCAGGCTAGACCCTCCTCCCTGTAAGCGTTTGGCTTCACCGAGGCCCCATCACAGAGAGGTTAGCTGAGCTCTTCCCACCCACGAAGGAGGCTTCAGAAGGTATCGGGGTTGCCAGGCTGGAGCTGGGAGGGTATGTCAGGTATGTTTGCTCTTGGTTCTGTGTGTGAGAGAGTATGAGAAGCAAGGGTGTCCCCTGTGGAGGGAGGGAGGGTGCAGAGGCTACTATCAGCAGAGCCTGGCTGAAGGTATGTGTATGCGTGTAGCCAGGTCTGTCCCTTGCAGGTCAGTGATGTCTTATATGTTTGGAGGATGGGTACCCCCACTTGTGTGTACTGAAGAGGGTGGTGCTATGTGTCACTGTCTGCGCCTATTTTAGAGTTACCAGTTGTTGCTGCGTGGGGTGGGGGGTGTCTGTATTGCAGGGCTATGGCAGTGTGTGATGCTGTGTCGCTGGTCCTATCTCGGCGTGCCAGTGTTGTAAAGTCCTGTGTATCTGTAATGGTGTCTGCCTATCAGTGTCTGTGAGTCTGGCTATCCATCATGACCCCTCAGCCTGGATGGGGGTCCTCAGGAGTTGCTGGGGTTGATCCCCAGTGGTCCACTGTGGTCCTTTATCTCCAGCTTTTCTCTCCGCTGCTGCCGATCACTTGCTTGCTGGGTGGCTGGGCGGTCCTAAGGAGGCCTGGGTCGATGAGCTGCTTGCCTCATAGTCTCTGCCCCAGCTAGTCTCAGGTGGAGGGACTGCAGGGGTCCCTCATGGTCCCAGAGCTCCCAAATGAGATGGTGGGTATGAAGGAGGGCTGAGCCTCAGAATGGGGTGGGGGGAGCAGGGGGAAATCATCAGCCCTCCCTTCCCCCTCCTCCTCCCCTCCTGCCCACCAATAGGAAGTCAGCTGCTGGTTTCCATGGCGATGGCGCTGGACTGGTGGGCTGGACCGGCTGGCAGGCTGGCAGGGTTGGGACAGGAGAGAGCAGGTTCCTTGCTGGATGGCAGCTTAGAAACACCCCCCACCCGCCCCTGGCAAAGTGGCCTCTTCATCTCCTAGATTGCACACCACCTCATCTTCCAGGGTACAGAGGAAAGGGAGCGGAGCAGTCATCGCCTGTCAGGCAAGACTGATGGAGATAGAACAATGTGACAGAGACCTAGCCATAGAGAAGGGCAGAGCTGAAAAAGATGGGGTTTGGGGTAAAACAAAGAAATAAAAGGCTGAAAATAGGAAGATGAGAGAAGAGACAGAGGCAGAAATAACCTGAAAGCGCACTTCAGTTTCTCAAAGCAGACATTTTGGGGCCAACCCAGCCTTCCCAGGCTACCAGACCACATTTGGGGGACATCCCAGCCTTCTCAGGCCAGCGGGGAGAAACCACAAGACACGACCTGTTGGGCTGGGTTTTGCCTCAATTGCCGAGTTCATCTTCAGTCTAGCCTTAGGCTTTGTTTATTGATTTCTTTTTGCTATGAGAAAATGGCTTTTGAGGACAAGGACATAGAAACTGCCCCACCCAGGAGCCTGCCTGTATGTGGGGCACCTAGATCCCTAGAGGTAAGAGTATTGGGGAGAGGCAGCCCCTGTTCCCTGGACTCAGCAAGACAAGCAGTCTCAAGCCAAGGTCGGGGGCCCTCATGTGGCACCCCTGTGGAATAGCAGCTAAACTGTAGAAAACACATCCCCACACCAGACTGTAGGCTCCACCAAGGCCAGAGCTGATGGAACTAGGGGAAGGAGGGAGGTGATGGATGACACATTCATTTCTCTAAAGCAGTGTATACATCAGTATGCATGCCACTATGTGATGTTTGTCACGTAACTTTAGGTCAGCATGCATATGCATGCCATTATGTATATAGTATGTGTGTATAAGAGATCTATTTATGTCTGTGTATGTGGAGAGGGTCATGGTAAGTATGTGTACTATTTCATGACTATGAATCTCATTATATATTTTATCTGTACAAGTTTCTGTGTGTCACTGGAATGTCTATTTGACACAATGTTTATGTGCACACAATTATGAGTATGATTTTATCATTGTAAGTTTCCAAATTATAACATCATGGCATAAATTAGGTATATCTGTGCCATTATACGGTATCAACACATTATAGCCTACATTGTCATGTAATGATGTGTAATGGCATACAATGACATATGTATATCATTATATACTCGTCAGGTCTGATAGTGCACGCCTTGAATCCCAGCACTTGAGAGGCAGAGGCAGGTGGGTCACTGAACGTTTAAGGCTAGCTTAGTCTACAGGACAAGTTCCATAATAAACAGTGTTGCTGGAGTTTCCTTGTCCTGCCAGGTTCCATCACCTTTCAGCCCTAAATAAGCACACAGAGACATATATTAATTATTAAACTATTGGCTGATGGCTAGGGCTTCTTATTGGCTAGCTCTGTCTTAATTATTAACCCATTTCTACAAATCTGTGTATTTCCATGTGGTCTTGGCTTACTGGAGAATGCCCAGACCTGTTACTCCTTTGCCGGCTACATGGTGTCTCTCGAGGTCTCCCTCTACCTACCTTTCCCAGAATTCTCATCTCCTAGTCCCGCCTATCTTCCTGTCTTTATTGGCCAAACAGTGTTTTATTCATCAACCAATAAGAGAAACATATATATATATACACACACACAGAAGGACATCCCCCATCAAGACAGGGCTACGCAAATAAACTGTTTCAAAAAACCGAAACCACTTTTTAAAAAAGATATGGCTCTTCCTCCCTTCACTTCACTTCTACTCTCACTCTCTGTCTCTCTTCTCTGCCAGCCTATAATAAACTATGGTTAATAATAATAATAAGAGATGATATGGAGATGTATACATGCCTTTTTTTTCACTCTTCCAAGCCTAAGGATGACTGGCACTAGGATCATCTCTGGATGCCTCACCAAGTTCTCAAGACACTTAAGTCCTTTATATAACATTGTGAAGTATCTGCACACGGCTTATACACACTGTTTTCCTCAAGGTCTCTTGCATGCCAGGCGAGCACCCTACCACTGAGCTATATCCTCAGCCCTCTCATATGCTTTAAATTGTCTCTAATTGTTTATACCTATTTTCTAATACAATGTAAATGCTAAGCAAATAATTACACTGTATTACTGGGGAGATCATGAGAACAATGACCAAAAAAAAAAAAATCTGTTAAGACACAGTTTCCTTTCTTAGATAGGATCTTATGAAGTTCCAGCCTCCACCTGCTGGGATTACAGGATACACCACATACTTGGCTTGCCATTAAGAACACATTTTTTTTTTCAGTCTGGTCAGTAGGATGGTTCCATGGGTGGATATATTTGCCACCAAACCTGACCACTAGAGTTCAATGCCCAGAAACCACATGAGAGAACTGACTCTCTCATGCAAGGTGTTTTCTAACCCCACCCCCATGCATACCACGTCACATGCGCATACACACAATCAAAATAAAATCAAAACAGAATTTCAATCCATAGGTGTAGAAACCCACAGAGATCCTGACTCTGTAAGCACCATTGTGATTTTATATTATCATCCATAAGTGTCACTGTATGTACATGCAGCCACCGTATTTATGTGAATGTCACTACATGGATATAATCTTGGGCATGACATGTCATGTATATATACCATTGTATGTGTAAGTGCTGTGAACATGTGTTTCTCCTAGGAAACTATATAACCATGCTATGTCAGCCATGTCTCATAGTCTATGTCTTGGTTTGTACATGTTGCTGGCATCTGTGTACAGGGCCTGGTGGAAATGCATATGAACGGTGATGCATGTGTGCCTTGCTAATGAGTACCCGTGATCTGCCACTGTGTTAGGTGCTCGTGGGCACAGCGAACCATAGTGGTTTTGCCCAACTCTGAGGCTACCAAGGACCTCTAGACCAGTGGCTTTCAACCTGTGGGTTGCAACCCCTCAGGGGAATGAGGATCCTTTCATAGAGGTCACCTAGGACCACTGGAAAACAGACACTTACATTACAATTCATAACAGTAGCAACACTACGGTTATGAAGTAGCCAGGAAAATACATTTATGGTGGTGGTGGTGTCACTGCAACTGTCTCAAAGGGTCGAAGTGTTAGGAAGGTTGAGAACCACTGCTCTAGGCTTTCTTAGACCTAAACCGGAGGCAAGCGGCCTTCATTTTGGAAGTGAAGAGAGTTAAATAGAAGCTGGAGCAGGAATTAGGACCAAAAGTAGAGGTCCCCTCATACCCTAGCCCTTTGTTCACATTGCCAGGAGGTCTGCTTCCAGTGACCCAAGCTTTTTCATGCCCAGGCTGTGGCCTAGTCTAGCCTAAGTGTTCTCGTGTGTCAGCACAACCAATCTTTCTCTGTGGTGGTGATTCTGTTCCCAGGTACCCGGGGAGCCCACACAACCCCGATACCCCCAATAACAGAGTCTCAGACAAAAGCGAAACAAGTCCATTCTTTATTAGAGTTGAAGGTCCTGTGACCCCTGCAGGTTCCCGTCCATCTGGCCTCCCTTCTGGAATCCCCCCAATCTGCCTGCAGGTGTGGCACCACATACACGGCCCCACCCCATCTCCTCAGACTTGAATGCCAGAGAGCTGCTGCAGTGTTTTACCCAGTTGTCTGGGGTCAGGAAGCACAGTGCTTAGGAAGAAATGAAAGTCTTTGGGGGAGCTGGCAAAATGGGGGGGGCGGATAAAAGTGATGCTTACCTGTCTCCATGATCCTGGGGTGGAGAAGGCCGGTGGCAGGTGGCCGCGGCGTGGCGCTGTCTCCGAAGCCCACAGTACACTCATCCATAAAGTAGGAAACACTACACCCTCCAGTGCTGTTAGTAGTGCTTTCTACTTTATGGGTGACTGCACTGTCTGTCTGTCCACAGGTATTCTTCAGGCCACCTGCTCTTCCTGCTGACTTCTGCTTTTAAAAAGCCCTCTGCCCCCCCCCCCTCCTTGTA